GTTGTTTTGAAAAAATAATAATAATAAAAGGGAAGGTTTGCACCAGGTGGTAGAAACCTTGAATGCCCAGCTAAAAATTCAGGTTATTTTCTAGCAATTCATAACAAAATCATTGTGGATAAAACCATGTTCTTTAGTGATGCTGAGAAAGGGGACACAGCATTGTCCTGCCCTTGAGGTGGGTCTCTTCCTCTCAAGGAATTAATATGTATTTGAATCATGAATTCCTGTTTCCCGGAGAATATCTTGCAATTATGTGTGGCAATTCATGTTTTGTGTCTTAAATCCATCCATTTAGTATTTACTTCTTGTTTACAACTATACTGTGAACCTTATTTTAGGAGGATGTAGCTGATAAAAGCGAGGTATTAATTTACTTTTCTATCTAGGTAATGAAGCATATATGTGTATACTTTGGAGGAAGTGAAGCAGATGAGCTGGTATTTATCGAGGGCCATGTATACCACCCAGTATGTAGGTAGCTTTGTTCACGCCATCCCAGTCAGTCCTCACAAACAGCTCTTACAAACAAGTAGTGGTTATCTTCTTTTATAGGCAAGGAAATTGAGGTTTTGAGGGGTCACATCCAAGTGACATTGCTAGTCATTGTCAAGGAAATCCAAAGGTGGGTCTCTCTACTTGTATGAGTCATTCGTAGCATTGTTCTTTAAGCTCTCAAAAGTCGACAGTGAAGGGATTGCTGTGCTCTTCATATATAGAAGCTTAAGGCCAGGAGGTAAAAAATGATGTGGATGGAGAGCAGTTACAAGTGATATTTGCTAACCTGCAAAAATAAGAACAGAAAATGGGCCAAGAGGAGGATTCCTTATAGCCAGGCAGAAACGTCTGCTAGAATATGTAGGAAGGAATCATAGGACTTGAGTGAATGTGAGCCTGAGGGAAGATTGGTAGCAGTGATTTTATCAGAGTGAGTCATCTGACAGCTCTAATCAGAATCACCCCCTTTATTATAGCTTAGGTCACCCATGTGCCTATTTCTAGAAAAGACTGAATCAAGACAAGTGAAACATACCAGAAGATCCTGGCCTGAACATTATAATTGACCTGGCAAGAAAGTGAGCTTCAGATCTGACAGCTTAGTAGTGGTGGTGGTGGTGATGTTAGAAGTACTTAACAGTCTGTTTTCCTTCTACAGCATTATTTTCCAAACTTCCACAACTCCTGGAGGGGGAGGAAATCGAAAATATGCTTCCAGGGATCTTGAGGCATCAGCTGTAGTGATCAGGAATTTTTTTTTGAAATCTCCTCTTTTATCGTTATGCAATCTTCATTTCCATATCTATTTGTTTTAATTGAAATAAATTCTTTTATGTGTTAAATATTTCCTCACCCCCATCCTAAATTGCCCAGTAGAATTGAGAGTCTGGGAAGTTGTGCTTGTTTCACTGGCTTGGCATCTCCCACCCCTACACAGGACAGGTGCCTAGTGTGAGAAGCACCGTCTCCCAGGGTTTGAGCTCCCGCAGAGGCTTTACAGGTAGCACACGGGGCTGCCACACCCCTGTTGACTCCCCACCCCTGTGACTCCCACCCTTTTTGTTCCTCCAGCCTCTCAGGTAGAGATTCCCTGTTTATCACACTGTCATGGTCTCCTTCTTTCACTTGATTGGCATGACCCTTATTTTAAGGGCTTCATCTCTTGATGTGTCCAACAGTTTTATTTTTGGAATTTCTTTTTTTTTTTGTCTTACCAGGGAAACGTAACCAGATACATTACATCTGTCTGAGTCTTGCAGGTACATACTTTTTCCTCACGATGATGCTTGCTATTTCACTTAAGGCACAGTTGCTGCAGATATGACATGACAGAGGGCAGGCTTAGCCTGGGTGTTGTTTGCGGCCAGTCTCTTCTGGCACTGAGTCAGCGTGAAGGCCCAGCTCTGTGTGTGTGGAGTTCGGGGTGGGATGGGGGAGCAAATTGTCATCTCTGTCTCTTGGATAGGAGGGAACGAGTGCAGGCCAGCACGTAGAGAAACTAATTTCAGGTCGCAAGCGAGTGCCAGCTTTATGATTGTTATATATGTTGTATTTTCCAGTGATTCCCAGCTTTTGTTACAGCCTTGACAAGAGTTGAGTGCTGTTTGGTAATTTAACAGCAGCAAAGATTTCCTTTGTATTTTTATACCTAAATTTTATATGAAAAGGATTATTGCTGATTTACTGATACTAAAGACTTGGTTCACATTAAGCCCTCGAGTCCTTTGTTTAGGGCATCATTTGTGTCCAACCTGTTTTCTTCTCCTGAAACCCTATTGTCCACCTTGAACTGGTCTAATTTTGCTTGATCCCATGTTTCCCCACTGTCCCTCTGCAGGACCATCTTTTGAACCAATGCAGTTGCATTTCTGTCTTTTGAATGACATCCACTACAAAAATAGCTTTTTTACATAGGCCTTGCAGATTTCAAAATCTTTTTTTTTTTTTTTAACGTGTCTTTGTATCTTCAGAACTATTCTATGAGATAGACTGCTTGGGGATTGTTATTACCCATTTTATGAATGAAAAAAGAAGATACCAGTGGCTGTGACTTGCAACTTCGTGCAAAGCCTCAGGTCTGTGGGGTTTCAATCTTCTGAACCATTCTGCTTCAGTACCCTGCTTTCTAGAAACATTTTCTGAAAGTCTTCCAGTTTTCCTGAAAGTGGGAAGAATTTATTATGTAGGTTGAGTTGTTTACAGAGAAGAAGATAGCTTTAAAATATTTCAGGAATTTGTTTTTTAAGTTTTAAATTCAAGGAAGAAACAATGAGGGTTCTGAATTTCCAAATAGGGATGGTTCATATATTAGGCAGATTAAAGATGTTTACTTCCTGAGAACAAAGCAGACTGAACCAGAGAAGATAGTGGCTAAGGTTTCCATTATTCTCTTTATTTCTGGGAATAATAGTGTTTTACGCCCCCTTTGTTGAAATATTATGAGACCGTCATGAGTGGAAGAGTCACACTTTGTGGTTCTTACTAGGAATTTCTGTGTCCATGAGGTTTCTCAAAAGTAATATTAGAGGTTCTCTAGCTATATGAGAGTTTTTGAAAATCTAATAGAAATGGTACATTTCCATGAGGTAAAGCCATGAATCTTCATATGTCAAGCTTCTTTACTTTTGGCTGGAATTTAGTAAACCTGGTTAGAAGCTCTGGTTGGCAGCACATGGCCTAACCAATTAATTATTTTTGAGAGTTGTCATTTGTAGACAGTGTCCATGAGGAGAGAAAATAAGTGACTGGTCTCCTGACAGTTGGAGTCTGAGATCTGTGCTGCAGTGATGGAGGATGCCCACCAGGGGGCACCAAGGATTTGCTTAACTGTTGGCTCCCCAGCTAGTTAGTTAGTGCCTGGACCACCTGAAGCCCATTTAACCGCCATCCCCGCCCCCCCCTTGTAAACTATGGCTCAGGTGCAGCCACACCCTCAGTTCCAGTCCCTGACTTCCCCTGCACCCACCCCCTCAGCGGTGCTGCTGCTGCTCCATATCGGAGTCTCACCACATTCTGCCTGCAGTGAAGGCTGTGGGTGTTGACTCCTCTCCTGGATGGGAAGCTTCTTGAGAGCAGCACCAGCTGCATTTACTTTCAAGATGATTCCTTTCAGTATTTCCAGCAGTGCTGGGCACAGGACCTCTGAGTTGCAGTGTTAACATCTCTTGGTGATCTGTGGGCTAGTTGTGTACTCCATTGAGCTCACCTTCATTGTGTTTTTTGGTCTTGAAGAGCATGCATAAATGACTTCTTGGGCGGCAGTGGGGGATTTTGTGTCTGTAGGTTGTGTAGTTTCATAAACCTTACTCTAAACTGCACCCTGACCAGCCACTTTCACTAACTTCCAAGACAGTTACAGAGGTCATTCCTGTGGAATGATGGGTCTTCCCTGCAGCCCTGCAGTTGGCCTTGGCGGTGGGACTTCCCTACGTGTTAGGCAGCAGATGGCCTCGGAGTTGTTAGGCTGTGCGCCGTGTGGGTAGGAGCTTGGGAAAAACAGAAAGGAATCCTCTGTAGCTCTCATCCCTCTGCCGTATCTGGGCTCCCAGCGGGGCCTCCCACAGCGAGAGGGTTAGGCCTGGAAGGGAGGCCTCTTGCCAAAGAAGGGCCGGCCCCGGGAGGAGCAGTAGTACCACAAGCATATTGTAGCTGGATTGTGTCATTTTATTGGAGACCATTAAGGAAATGGACGTTCATTTTTTTCTTTTTCAGAAAGCAGATAATGGCTTCTAAGCCGATTGAAAGGAAATTTGAAAAGGTTTCATAACAGTGTTATTTCATTATTACAGCCAGCCTCCACAGGCAACGAAGTTGTTTTCAGGCCTGACCCTGGCTCTGGCTTCTTTGCTGTGTGGATACCTTTCCAAAGTGTTTGATGTGATGACACATTCAGGGGTTCTGTGTTTGATAGCAGACCCAAGAGTGTGCAGAACTGTGAGCAAACAGCATTTACATTTACCTTATGTAATTTTAAAAATGATCCACAGTCTAGGTGATACTGGAGATGGTAATATTGATGTGGTGTGTGTGGCTGCTTCTTGAAAGGCTGTTTGTTTAGCTCCCTAGTGAATTTGGTAAACTAAGGCCATATTTTTATTTCTAGAGCTGGGAGTTCCCCAAGCTGGCTGTTTTGACCTTTGAATGTTAGGAGCACCAGAAGTTCTGATGATGAGACAGAGAGAAGGTGACACCTTTTCAGGTCCATTAAAAAACCCAAGACTCACTCCTGACACCCCTTTGTCCTACAGACGGGGCAGAGAATGGGACCCCTGCTCTTTGGGATGGCATTGCTTTAAAGACAATCAGAATCTACCTGTTAAATGCTCATCTTCTCTGTGAATCTGTGTCTTGGTTATTATTACCTTTGGCAGCTGAATTTAAATCCATTAGGGGTGGGGTAGTTTGTAAGTACATTTTCAGAAATGCATCTTAAAGCTTTTCAGGAAAAATTTGGGACCTGCTAGTGCAAATTAGCATCGCAAATATGGCTGCTTTGCTTTTAGGTGATCGGCGAGGACAATGTTGCGGTGCCCTCCCACCTCTACAAGGTGATCCTGGCGCGCAGAAACCCGAGTTCTGCTGACCCCCTGGCACTAGGGGCCTTCGTGGTGCCCAACAAGGCCATTGGCTTCCAGCCCCAATTAAGTGAGTTCCAGGTGAGCCTGCAGGAGCTGGAGAAGTTGTCAGGACTGGTGTTTTTCCCTCATCTGGATAGGACTAGTGACATCAAGAACATCTGCTCGGTAGACACCTGTAAGCTCCTGGATTTCAGGGAGTTCACTTTGTACCTGAGCACAAGAAAGATTGAGGGAGCCCGATCGGTACTCAGACTGGAAAAGGTCATGGAAAATTTGCAGAATGCAGGCATTGAACCTGATGAGGAGTTCATGACTCGCTACAAGAAGAAGCTGGAAGAACTCAAAGCTCAGGAGCAGTCAGGAGTCCTGGAGAGAAAGCCCTCGTAGTTCACCTCTCAGAAGTGTGATGTCATCTGTAATGAAGCAGGTGCGGCCTCTTTAGATACTGTATTTTAGTGGCTTTGTTTTTTTTTTTTTTTTTTTTCTTGCGTTATGCGGGCCTCTCACTGTTGTGGCCTCTCCCATTTGCGGAGCACAGGCTCCGGACGCGCAGGCTCAGTGGCCATGGCTCACGGGCCCAGCCGCTCCGCGGCATGTGGGATCTTCCCGAAACGGGGCACGAACCCGCGTCTCCTGCATCGGCAGGCGGACTCTCAAGCACTGCGCCACCAGGGAAGCCCAGTGGCTTTGTTTTAAAATGATGGAATCCTAAATTTCAGACTAAATTTCTCCCCAAAAGGTGTCAGATGTTTTGGTTGGTATTTTATTTGATGTGGGAAACTAAGGAAACTTAACGCCTGCAGATCACGGGCTGGTCTTGTGTCAAGTTAACAGGAGGGCTGTGTCTGCAGGATGACGCTGTGTGCGTGTCCCTCTGGATGTATTGTATGTGAAGGCGTTATATTTTCTGCCTCCAAATCGTACAGTGTCTTTGATGTATCTGCTTAGCCTTCTTGGAACCCAAGATTGTACATGTTCTTTCCCTGGGACTTGAGCTGGTCTTAGATATGGCTTTTAGATAACCTCTATGCATTGTCCTGACCACGTGTATCATATATTTGTTTCTTGTTCCTCCTCTCATGGACCTGCTGTTCCTCCTCTTCTGTTATGCAGAAGCACTCAACAACTACATTTTCTGCTCATTTAGTGTGTTCTGTATACTAAGCTAAGTGCTTTACACGTATTATCCTACAACTACCCTCTGAGGGAAATACCACTGTCCTCGTTTTACCCATGAGGAAATTGAGGCTTAGAGAGCTGAAGTATTTTGCCCAAGGTTCATCTTCCCAAAGAAGTAATCCACAAGGAATGAAGCATATAACATGGGGTACGTTAAAATCTTCCCTGACACAGAGGCTCAAAGACATACTTACGTGGGTGTCTGTGATCCTGGGGCTTGCTTGGTAAGAGGGGTCTGGTTTCTTGTCTGCAGTCAAGCCATAGGGACTTTAATGTTCTCTGACTTGAACTCTCCTTAGTTCTTTGGGAAGAAACAGTCACAGGTATTTGAACGTTAGAGGACCGTGCTTCACGCGGTTTATATGAGTCCCTGCTTGCCTTCAGAAATGCAATTCTTCTAGTGACTGGCTGGTGCCAAATTGATGTGTTCCTTGCTTCCCAGATGGGCTTTTTGTGAATCTCTGCCCACAGATTCACCAGCTCATGGCTTGCTCACCTTTGTGCCTGGCCTGTCTACCTGGTTGGCCCAAAGACAGTTACCTCTGGGGGAAACAGTGGCTGTTTTTCTGAGCCAGATCTCTAGATTTGGGTTTACGTGGAATCCTTTCATGGGCTGTCATAAGTGCAGGCAGTAAAATATCTTCAAATAGAGCATAGGAACTTGTCTGCCTGTGTCCTGTCAGTACTGTCTTTCTAAGTGGTGTTACCAGAACAGTTTTTGTGGTGTTTTGTGTTTGTCTCTAACAGAAATGCCAAGGTGTTAAGATAAAGGTAAGATGAGAATGGTTGATCTTGTTCTGCTTTATTTGGGTAAACAAGAAAGAAGTTGGGGGGTCAAAACACTTCAGCCTGATTAATACCAGCCTGTTTTATCACTCTGTTCCACATTAGCTTGTGCCAGTCTTTTCCTTCTCAGGGAGAAAGAGCCAAAATGTCACTGTGACCAAAAAATTCTGTTACTTTTTCTCCTTCTTGAAGAGGTGACAGGGGGATCTGGGTGTTTTTCCAGGAGCCCGAGGGCGGCTCTGTGGGAGAGTTCCTACCGCCCATCTCCAGAGGTGAGTCCCCGTCCACTGTCCCCCGGGGCCTGTCACTACGTTCTCCTCTGACCTCAGTATCCAGCAGCCTTGGGGTTATTCCCATGCTGCTCTCACTCCTGTGCCTCCACCTCGATGGTAGAAAGTCTTGATTTTTAGATCAGTAAATTAAAGTGTCTTAACACGTTTTTAGTTCCTGTGAAAAACGCTACCTAGTCATTGTGAAAAAGAGGTAACTACTTATAATAAAAAAAAAAATGTGTCTCCCAGTCCTCATTATTATATGTAAAAGTTTTGTTGGTATACAACAAGTGATGCTTGAATTGTTGTCTCAACACTTCCACTAAGAGTCCCTCCAAAACAAACTTTGAAATGTAAACACTGGGTAGAGCTCAGGATTTTCCTCTGGATCAGATCACTTCCGCCTCCCTTGTGGGACTGTTGAGTACTTGGACTCAGATGCAGCAGAGCCCTAGGCCTCCCCACAGCATCAGGTGTGTCCCTCTGGTCAAAGAAGCACCTCATTACTGACCTGAGCCAATCACCATCCAGCCGGGCCCTCTCCGGGTCCTGCCGCGGTCTCAGGCTGCACCTGGGACTCTGCCTTCCACTGTTTATGCTCAGGGAGCCCATGGTCTGAGGGAGACTGCCCAGGGAGAAGGACCAGGCTCTGCTGCTGGGACCCCCGTCTGGGGGCGAGGGACTCACTCCCTAATCTCTCTCCACCTGCAGTAGCATCTTTATTTCGAGACTTCAGGCTCTTTGGTCTGTGGATTGAGACTATTTCGTATGCAGCAAAGGGGGACCTTACACAAGTGGCAAAGGTAGGATGGGTGTGCTAGCCCCTTAAATACCTGCTGGTGTTTCTGCCCTTGTGCCTCCATCTTCAAACGACTGAAAACCTCCGTCCCTCCTTCAGGACTTAGAATAGAGCCCAGCAGGAGATAGAGTCTGATCTCAAGGGAATGAATGGCTTCCTGCAGAGCTGGGCTCAGCCTGCCTGCAGCCCTGCTCTTGGAGAGACTGTGAGTATTACCATGTCGCCCGTGTTCCCTGCCTTGATCGTGAGTCCATAAATGTCATTGGCGTTAACATGACGTATCTTCAATTTCCCGTCATCGGCCCCTCTGCAACCCCGGGGTCCGCTGTTCTGTTCCCTGCTAGCTCCCTACCATGTCCGCCCTGTGTGCCCTTCCCCTTGCTGGGCCCTCGCTGTCCTCCTTGAGCCTCTAATTCATTCTGGTGCAGCTGGTCAGGGGTGGCCTCACATCGACCATGGAACCCCTGCTCTTGCCCACCTCCACGCCCAGCCTCTCCACCGGGCCTGCTTTTCTGGGTGTCGTCATGGAGACGGTCTATCAGGGGATCCAATGCTGCTTTTCCAGTCCAGCCCCACCTTCAGGGACCAACCCTCAGGTCATCGGAGGGCCGAGTGGGATGTACCACACTCTGTATAATTTAGGGCAGGGGAGATGGGGTGCTTGGATGGGCTTCTCTTCCATGTTCCTGAACTTGACAATTCGGCCAAGGGCTGGTCCCCTCTGAGTGCACAGCACCTCTAGGGGTCACTGTGGCCTAATGCCACACTGCTGGGACCCCACCCGAACACAGAGCCTCAGTGAGCAGGCTCTCAGGCTGGATGGGACAGGAGGGTCATCTTGTCCAGTGCGCCTCATGTTTGGCTCACGTCAGAGTAGCCTAGCGCCCCCTCCAATTTTATTTTGAATAATTTCAAGCTTTCAGAAAAGTTGAAAGTGCAATGAATGCCCTCCCTCAATATTGTGTCTCATTGGTGTTCTTTTCTTGAACCATTTAAAAGTAAATCATTGTCTAAAAAAAAGTAAGTTGTAGACACAGCACTTCACTTTTTTTGTTGTTTTATTTTTTTAAATTGAAGTATAGTTGATTTACAGGGTTGTATTTCTGCTGTATGGCACAGTGATTCAGTTACACATATATATACATTCTTTTTTTATATTTTCCATTATGTTTTTTTTTAATTAATTTATTTTTGACTGCCTTTGGTCTTCGTTGCTGCACACGGGCTTTCTCTAGTTGCGGCGAGCAGGGGCTACTCTTTGTCGTGGTGCACGGGCTTCTCATTGCGGTGGCTTCTCGTTACAGAGCATGGGCTCTAGGTGCGTGGGCTTCAGTAGTTGTAGCACATGGGCTCAGTAGTTGTGGCTTGCAGGCTCTAGAGTGCAGGCTCAGTAGTTGTGGCACACGGGCTTAGTTGCTCCACGGCATGTGGGATCTTCCCGGACTAGGGCTTGAACCCGTGTCCCCTGCATTGGCAGGCGGATTCTTAACCACTGTGCCACCAGGGAAGCCCTCCATTATGGTTTATCATAGGATATTGAATATACTTCTCTGTGCTATACAGTAGACCTTGTTGTTTATCCATTCTATATATAATAGCTTAGGTCTGCTAACCCCAACCTCCCACTCCATCCCTCCCCCAACCCCCTCCCCCTTGGCAACCACAAGTCTATTCTCTATGTCCATGATTCTGTTTCTGTTTCATAGGTTCATTTGTGTCATATTTTAGATTCCACATATAAGTGATATCATATGGTATTTTTCTCTGTCTGACTTAGTATGATAATCTTTAGTTGCATCCATGTTACTGCAAATGGCATTATTTTGTTCTTTTTTATGGCTGAGTAATATTCCATTGTATGTACCACATCTTCTTTATCCATTCATCTGTTGATGGACATTTAGGTTGCTTCCATATCTTGGCTATTGTGAATAGTGTTGCATTGAACATTGGGGTGCATGCATCTTTTCAAATTAGAGTTTTCTGTGGATATATGCCCAGGAGTGGGATTGCTGGATCATATGGTAGCTGTATTTTTAGTTTTTAAAGGAGCCTTCATATTCTTCTCCATAGTGGAGAATTAATTCTTAAGTAGAATAGGTCCCCAATAAATCATCCATCCTGCTTGCCAAGTACTTTTTGGGCCACATGTAGGAGGCCTGAGGGCCAGCCAAGGAGCCTCTTGCCTCTCGTGGCACTTTTCTTGTCCTAGTCAGAGACCAGAGCCGCCTCCACCCACTCTTGGGTGCTCTGTCCCCCAATTTTGCATCCAAAATTGCTCCCAAGTTTCTCACCCTCCACTGTCCCTATGCTAGTCCAAGCCCCATCATCTCTCCCTACAGAGACCACCT